GGTTCAACCTCAACCCATTTCGTAAAGTAATCAATGGCTACAATTACAAAGTTTGCACCTCCTCTACCTTTAGGTAGAGAATTTATGAGGTCCACTCCCCATTTAGAGAAAGGCCAAGGGCTGGAGATCGCAGTCAAATCCTGCGACAGTTGCCTTTGTACTGAAAAGAATCGTTGACATTTGTCACACTTTCGTACAAACTCGAAGACGTCCCTTTTTAGGGTAGGCCAGTAGTACCCTTGCCTCAATATCTTTTGTGCCAAAGATAGACTTCCGGAGTGATTGCCGCACACGCCCTCATGGACTTCTCTCAATATGTAAGTAGCCTCTTTTCCCCCTACGGGATCCTTGTGGGGTTCTGTCTGCTGGGTGTCAGTAATTGGGTTGATATCCTCATATGCCAAGGTAGAAACCGTGTTCAAAGTGGTGGTGGCAAGTGCTTGGCGAGAACTCTCATTTCCAGCCTGGTTCATTTGGTAGTCCATCAGGTGGGAAGTCGGCCCTCTAGTACGCTGCCTTTGAGGAGGTGGGAGGCCTCTACTTGCCCTGTTCCTATGCTCAATCAATTCTTCATTAATGATTTCCCGCCTCATCATCCCGAGTAGGGCATCATAGGTGGTGGGATCTTGATTTTGCACGCCCCTCCAGAATATGGTATTCATGTTCAAGCCTCCTCTTAATGCGGATAGTGTCTCACGGTCGGTGACTTGCACACAATATATCATCTCATCTGTGAAGCGTGATAGGAAGCTTTTTAGGGACTCCACATGTGCTTGTCTCATGTCTTGGAGACGTTGGATGGGGGCCTCTCCCTCTTTGCTTACCGCGAATCTCTTCAAGAATGTTGTCTTGAACTCGGGCTAGCTTTTTATGCTCCCAGGTGGTAACCTACTATACCAAATTTTAGCCGCTCCACTAAGTGTTAAATGGAAAGCTCTGCATTTCACAGGTGGGGTGGCGTCCCTTAGGTTCATGTGAGTTTTATAAGCATTTAGGTACTTTTCTGGGTCGCCTCTCCCAGTCATACTTTGGTATTTTTGACATTACATAGTGGTTTGAAACTTGGGCACTCCTTAGTTCCCTCGAAAATGGTAGATTCTCATCGTCGTCGTCCAAGTCACAGGACCTCTGCCGTTCATCTTAATCATATTCCTCGACCTCTTGCCGTGGTTGTTGGTGAGATGTTTCGGGACGATTCCTAACCTCTTCCTCCCTCCTCTAGCGCCTATTTCTAGGTAGTGCAACACGGGGGGCAGTTTCATGCCTTTCTTCCGGCTGCTGGGGCATTGGAGGTGAAGGAGGTGGCTTTGTCCAAGGCTGGTGAGTCTGCTGTTGCCTAAACTTCGGTTCAGCGAGGCTGATTCTGTCAAATACACTGCTTGCCCTCCTATGTCTTGACTCTTGCTCATAAGGAGGTGAGAAGTTATCATGGTTCAATGGAACCTCGGTGGGTCGGCTAGAAGTGTAGTTGGAGGAAAATCAACTTCAACTTCCCTTTCAAATGGGCTTCCACCTCGGCTATAGTCCGGCGAGGCAGCTCTATGACTTTGAATTTCATCTTCTTGCTGGTAGTGCCCTCGAGGGGCGTATGGAGGAATGGGGAAGCCTCCTTGGCCCTGCATTTGGGCCATGAGCTCCCTCATAGCCAAGTTTTGGCTAGCAATATCCCTCATGTTGGCTGCCATGGTAGCCATTGCTCTTGACAATCGTGCCGTCGCCCTCATTCCACCTCTTCTTTGGTGGTGGTGGAGTCTTTGCTGAGCTTCTGGGGCAGCGGGTGGAAGAGGCACATTTGTATTTTCTCTTACCTTTCTGGGGGCTGTGTCTTCGTTTGAACTCATTTTCTTTTTGTCTGACTCTTCAAATTTTGCTAAGTTGTGGGGCTTTCTCTTGTTCTTTTTCAAGAACAAATTCTTTTTCAAGGGAGATGCCCAAATGGTCTTCAATAAGCTTTCACCACAAGGTTGTTCGTGGTTATGGTATGATTTTTCACAGACGGCGCCAATCTGTTGACCCCAAAAAATGTTGCCAACAGATGTCGGACCCACCTGCGCACACGTGAGCGAAGGTCCTGCACGCTAAGACACGTAGACGGTCTAGGACGAAAGAATCAGGGGCGTGAGAGTAGCTCAACGACGCGGAACGAGAGCGTTCGGAATCCGGCGGGATGTTCGTAATCCGATTATACAATAATTACCAATCGGTGCTCATGGATGTACATGTAAATGTGTATGAACTCCTATAGTATTGTAAGATAATATGAAAGAGAGATAGTAAAGTGTGGTTTCTTGTCTTGATTCTTACCTTAGCCCTTCAATGTTATACAAGGGAAGTATTTATAGTGTTACATGTGAAATGACAGCCTTTAGATGAGGTGGCACGTGGCCTCATCTTCTTAATTCAAACATCCAATCCTAGGCATCATCCTTGCTAGCTTGCTGCGCATTTATTGCTTGTGCAGAACCCCCATGCTAGTGATAAGACTTGACATATGTACTCATGATAAACGTTTCATCAATCATTCAAACAAGATCTTTATGTAGAAGATCTCTTGGGAGAGGTGATCATGGAAGTCTTTCCTTCATGGTTCGGAGGCTTCTGCCACTCACGTAGTACTTCCGCTTTAGGGCTTCGACTATCTTCAGAGGCCTCGGTATATGGAGTTTGGCTACTTTCATAGGTCTCGGTATAAGGGCCTCGGCCATACATGCCACCTCGGCTGAAGTGCCACGTGGTTCGGATTGAGTGGGCCATAGGTCCAAGTAGGTTGGCCAAGTATAACAATAAGTAACAGTATATATATGTAACACAGTCGAAATTCCTTTAGGAGTTCCAAATATTTTTGTATGTTCCACCCCATTTCCTCAATCTTCCATTTGTGTCATTCCATGTTTCCAACATTTTAAAATTGTACGTACAGTATCCCCAAAAACCATTTATTTAGATGATAAAGGACATGCAATAGGCAGCTTAAAAATGAATGATGGATAGAATTGTTCAAAATAATTTTTCTTTACTTTGGAGACTTTTTGGACGACTTCAAACCTAGAAAGAACATTATACATTTCTACAAAGCAGGCAGTGGATTTACCACTTAGCCCCTGTTTTATATATATTAAAATGCTTCTTTTTTTTATTTTTTTTTTTTTGTTGGAAAAATGAGTTTTATGTGTGAAACATTTTATTACTAGAATGTATGGTTGAAGATGAATTTGAGAAAAATAGAATTTTAATTTAATGAATGTCAAATAGGGACTTAGTAGTATTCGAAGGAAAAATATTTTTGGACAAGTACATCCACCAATCATTTATGAATGTGTGTATACGTCTAAATAAAAAATAAATAAAATAATGAAATGGACCGGGTCCATTTGTAATTATTAGCCATTTAAGTTTACTAAAAAGCCTTAAAGTCTATAAAAAGCTCATCCTACGTTAAAATGGTTGGAGTAACGTTTTTTTTGAAAAATGAGTTTTTGAAAAAAAAGGAAAAGTTTTCGATTTATGCGTAATATTATTTTATGGAAAATTGTGTGATTAAAAATAAAAGAGAGAAAAATGAAATAAAATTTAATGGGGGCTAAAATCATATCATACTTTTTGAACTCATTAAATTATGGTATAAATAGATAGATAATAGATGATTATAAATTATTTCTATAAATAAGATCTAAGATTCAAGATAAATCAAAAGGTGAACTACAAGTGAAAAACACACGAGTTCAAGAGAAAGAAGTTCAAAAGAAATTTCAAGAGGAAAAAAAAATAAAAAATCTCTCAAGTTCAAGTTTGAGAAATTTCCAAAAGATCGAAGTCATATTCTATTTTAAGGAAGTTCAAATCAATTCATAAAAATCCAAATCTTCTTCAAATCAAAGCAGACTTAAACTCAAGTCAACTCTCAAAGATCGGAAATATGGAAAAATCAAGCAAATCAAATTCCCAACAAGTTTGGAAATCCAAGTATCAAGTCTTGTTGTCTCTCACTCCAATTAATAAAGCACAGAACCAAGAAAGATTAAAAGCCAACAAAGAGAGTTTTTAACTACCTATGTCATTAAACACTCGGATCATTAATAAGAGGATTGTGCATTTTGCGTCACAAGAAAATCAATCCAATTTGTAATTTTTCAAAAAATCAATTATAACAAAGTTTTATTTTTATGCACGAAATTTGTTGTATAGTATGCCTAATGAGTGTCCTTTTGCCATCAAAATAGACTGTCAGATTGGGATACTATTTTTGCAATTATAAAATGTTAGAGGCATTAGGTGATCAAAGGAAAGGTTGGGAGTATGAGATGGCACTAATAGAAAGGCTGGGACCCCTGAAAGAATTTACCCAAAAATATAAGAGCCTAAAGGACATGCTTTTATCCAAAGTGATTACTACCTGGATAGTAGTGAGAAGTTTCCCCTGTACCTTAGTATATGTTGATGGGCCTGGCCCTTTGAAGGGTGCCATTTTGTACAAAAAAATTTCCACAAAATTTGGTCAGATTATTCTCATGTGTGGGATCCATTGTGAATAAAAATAACCAAAAAATACCCCTATCCACTCTCCTATGTGTGTGTTCTGACAGGCTTATGTATGAAGCCTATACACACAGCATGATCCCTGTCCCTTTAGGGCTAGTTCTGATTTTCAATATAAATTTTTTTTGCTTGTACCAATAAAATAAGGGAAAATTGTAGCCATGGTAACAAAACTTTCACTTTTTGCAGAGTTGATTCAAACCTTTCATTTGTATCAACTACGATACCAAACCTTTCAAAATGCCGTAGTTGAAGCCCAAATGGATTGAAACTGCTAATTTGACCGTTAGTTGACCAAAAAATTAATATTGACCATAATTTTGATTTATTTTAAAAGATAAAATGATAACTTTATATTTTTCATCAAAAAACACTATTATAATCTATGAATAATTAAATCAAAAAAATATAAATTAAAACAAAAACCCCCACCCCCATCCCCTTCTTCCCCAATTCCTTTATCCCAAAAACCACCACCACTACCAATAGTTGACACCATCGCACCCACACAATGTCGAAGTCACAATCACTTTAAAATAGCGGTCAACCTCCAACAAAAGGCAATGATGGTGAAACCATGGCTGACGCCACCGCACCCATGGATCTTGAAACCATGGCTATTTGCGTTGAAGCAATGGTGAGGGAGTGGGGTTGATTGGTGGCCATGAGAGGTGATTTGTTGGTTAGTGCAGTAATGGTGGTTGGATATTGGTGATGATGGTGCAAATCTTCTACTTCCTCTGATTTTAAATTTATCTTCAGATATGTTGTCGATTTTGGTGGTTTTTTAGGAGCTCGGAATAGTGAGCGATTTTGGTGGCGTTGATGCTTGGTGGGTGCCAACAATTTTGGTGGGTTTTGGTTTTGGGGTGAGTAGGGTGTGAGGGGTTAGTGGAGAAGAAGATGAATAGTGTTTAAGTTATTTTATTTTTTATAGATTATAATTGTATTTTTTGTTGAAAAATGTAAAGTTACCATTTTATCTTTTTAGAATTAGTCAAAATTATGATCAATGCTACTTTTTTAGTCAACTAACGATCAAATTACTAGTTTCCAACTATTTGGACTTCAGGCGTGACATTTTAAAAAGTTTGATATCGTAGAAGATATAAATAAAATGTTTGGATCAAGTTTATATGAAAGTGAAACATTTGATATTGTAGCTGCATTATTCCCATAAAATAACGGATATATTACATATTTCCAAATAAAACATCGTTAATTCTTTCCATTTCCAGGTTCTTGCAATAAAGATTGTTAACCTTGATCGTACCAATGCAGGACTATAAATATCAACGCAGACTCTCAAAGAAGGAAAGAGGGTTTCTGGTGGAGAATGATTGAAACCATGAAAAGGAAGGTTAGAGTTTCATACTCAGATCCTGATGCCACCGATTCTTCATCAGATGAAGGTGGCGATGGACCAGAAAGATCGAAGAGTTTGGTTCATGAGATCGTACTTCAGCCAGGAAAAAATCTTGACAAGAAGAAGGGTTCTGGAAAAATTCGTCCACGAATCAAGAAATTCAATTCGAGGGTTCTTGATCAGAATGGAATGGGAAAATTAATTGGGGTTCAGAAAAGAAAATCGGGTAAATACTCTGCTGAAATCAGAGATCCTTTCAAGAAGAAACGGGTTTGGTTGGGGACTTACAACACTGCTGAAGAGGCCTCTGAGGTTTACCTGGCCAAGAAGCGTGAATTTGAGGAAAAACAGAGTGCTGGACGAGGAATTGATTGTGGTCCTTGTGATAATTCCTCCGAAGATTCTTCACCTTCGGTCAATGAATTTGATACCCTGGATTCTCCGGAAGAAGTAAGCTCAATAGAAAGGGAATTTTTTGAGGAAAACAACGCTGGTTCAAATGAGGGACAAAATTTTTCACTGCCAGACCCGTCAGTCAAGTTTGGGATGCTGTTTGGTGTGCAAATTATTAACAACCACGGATTTCTCTTGGGCGAATTCAGCAAGTTAGACGACTTCAGCATTCATGAATCGGAATAAGACTCAACATTCATGTGTATCGGAATAAGATTATTTTCCTAAACTTTTTTATTCTTGGCTAGTTTTTCAAATTGTTGAATCCGCACATTAGATATGTATTAGATATCACATGTATATTATGGGAGTTGAATAACAACTCTTAGGTTGTTGCAATCAAGCAATACTGACGGTATCTGATGAATTTTCTTCTCTCCTGTCGTTGTTTCATTCATACACAGTACATAATTTATTTTATTTGTGTATGTTATCTTCGTTCCACGATAGTTTAAACAATGTATAGCAGTTCATTTTCAAACGTCGAAATAGCAATATTCAGTGTAGGCTTGTAAGATTTGACATTTAAATTATTATGGCGTGAGTTAAGTTGTGTGCATTAAATCTATACACTGTCCCAGTATTGTTCATGTTCTGTTTAGCTAGAAAATAATGTAAGGCGGTTCTTTATGAAGTGTTTGGAGATGGTTTCTTAGAGTTGTTGATTTGGTATTATACGCTTAACAGACAGTATGTGAATTCAGTTGGTGAGCTTGTCAAGGGAACTTGACAATTCAAGAAGCAACTTAAGGTATATATAAATTAAAATACTTTCACCCGCATACCATGTAGTTAGTTAATAATTGATTTCCATTACCGATTCAGGTAAAATATATGTATTGAATTATTTAAAACTAAATCAATCTAAGTCCTTTTTTGATCTTATCATATTTCCCAAATCCTAGTTTCTTGTCAATGTGATTAAATTAGCAGATAAGTAGGTAGGTGATATGTTGTTAAATGATTTGAGGATGATTTGTTTATCTTACATATTTAGACTTGTCTAATTTGGTGCTTGGTTATGTCGACAAACATATTTAAGGATAGGAGAATTTTACTTCCACTCTTGTTTGCTCAATTCATCCATCTTTCCAGACTTGCATGCAATGCATGGTTATTTTATAAAGGAAACTCAATTTCCAGTGTAGTGCATGCATTAGAAAATGTAGTTCAATACCTGCTGAATGTGCTGAAACTATTTGGACTTGGGATTTAAGTTACATATATGCATGAATGTACTTGAAATGCAATAGAATTGGGAGGTCTGTTTTGCCTTATGTCTGCCTTACAGTATTTGTTGCAGGTAAAGCTTTCCTATCTCACAATTGTCTAAGTGCTTGTTTGGTAGTACTATTAAGTACTTATAAGCTGTGAGTCCTATGCAATATGTAGATAACAAGTGGATAATAATTTGTGGTTCTATAATTGTGTGGATAAAAAGTATGTATGATCCACTTAGATGTGTGGATAGTACTTTTAAGACATGTTTATTCTCGATCTGCCTACTATAGAACCAAATTGATTAGGCAAACCATGTTTTAAACTTCTAGCAATTGAAATTTTATAAAGATAATACTGTATTGCTAGCGTAAATATCCAAAAAAGTATATGTAACCAAGTGAGTCACTCCTCAACCTGGAGGAAAGTGTGAAATTCCAACCAATTGCATAAATATATTGCCATTGGGGAGACACGGAAGTCCTGAGAAATTCTTGGACTGTTGCGACTATTTCCGGCTTGCAACAATTTCGTGGTGACTTACAATGATTTCTCTCTGTTTTCTTCCTATCTGAGCTATTGTTCTTGTCCTGAAACAATTTTGAACAAATTTCTTTTGGGATGATGGAGCTTGTAGTTACTTTTTGTGGTATAACAGAAAAAGAATACAGAATAGTTTCAGCGTTGTTCATCTCCTTTGTGTTACTGGTGCTGGGATGCTCATATTGCTTTGAAGAAGGAAATTGAACCAGGTTTCCATAAGCTATTGTTGTACATTAGTTAATGCAACATGGAAAAACAAGCATGAGAATGAGGGAAATGACACTAAGAAGTGTCAAAAACCAATAAGATTTGTAACTTCATGCTCCTGCTGCTGCTGAATGAAGAAAAGTATCTAAAACACCACAGAAGTGGGAGATCTGTTTTTTCTTTGGAGTCTGCCTCTCGGTGTTTGTCACATTTGTTTGGTAAATCATGTATCTAAAACACCTCACGTTCGTTGACCCACATTTATTAGATAAATCGTGTTTTAGTTTTGTATCTTATCGAAGTTTTATGAACAGTGTGTGTACTGTAAACCATTGCTCTTTTGTGTGTTGTCATTTCTAAAAACCTTGAGATTTCCTTCCTAATGTTGGATCATAAGTCCTTCTACAGAAGGCATGGTTGCATTCTTCAGGACTTCTTTATTTTATCCACTAGTAGTGAATAGAAAATACAAACAATATTATGTGTTTGATGTTCTGAAGAATTAGGTTTTGTATCTGTAAGTATGGAGAATTTTAAGAGACAAAGTCAAACAATAATGTTCAGAAAAACATTCAATTTTTAGAAGTTTGAATTGGAATTTCTTTTCCAACTTTTCCAAGGGTAAGACGACTTCTTCCCAAAAGTATGCTTTGACGGAGCAAAACATTTTTGTTTAATGTTTTACTAAATTGTCAAAGTTCACCAAACTTGTGTTTACGTCTCACCAGCAAAAAAATAAAGTAAAAATCAATTCTAAATTTCAACATCAAGCCCCCATTTGAGTCTCATTATTGTAAAAATGAGAATGAAAAATATAGTCGTTATGGTCCCTACACAAGAGATAAAAAGTCGAATATGGTGGCTTGATGTGATGGATAACGGTCATATTTTTCATTTTAATGAGAAAATAATAGGACTCCAACAGGGCCGAAATATAGTTTGTTACTCCAACCATTACCTGATTTTCTCTACCTTGTTGCCCCCAATTTGATTATATATTTAGTCCCTATTTGATTCTGATAAAATCTGATTTTTATTAGATTTTAATAAAGTTAATTGAAATGTATGATTGGAAAATTAATAAAAAATAAAAGGGATCATTTTCAAACATTTTAAACACCGGCAGGCTTTCCTTTTACTTTTCATTTGTTGTAGTCGCCACTCCAAACTTTTCAAAACGTTGCATCCGAGGCCCTTTTGGATGTAATCCATTCAATTTATCGTTAGTTGACCAAGGAAAAAAATTCTGACTTTTTTTTGAACAATTAAGTGGGGGTAAAATGATAACTTTGATAACTTTATAATATTATCATACAAAATAACAATTAAAATAATTAAAAAATAAATGGAAAAAAAGAAAAAGGAAAATAAATTACCCTTCCTTCAAACCAAACGGTCCTACCCAACAATGAACCTCAGCTGACCGACCATACAAATCTCAAAATCTTCAAGCTTCCCTTCAGGTCCGATCTTGAGATTTTTGAGGACTTAGGCAAATAATTATAATGAGGCCTTTTAAAAAATTTTTTTTACTAGCGTAAAAAGGGCAGATAAAAATTATAATGAAAATTTAATTGCTATATAGGCAATAAATTATGAACCAAGGGATCAATTTTTTATTATTTATCTTTTACTCCAAGAACTTTTTCTCTCTTTCTTCATTTGGTGGTATTTCCTTTCAATCATGCTACTCAAATGGAGAAATTTGTTAGGAAATGGTGACAGCCAACACTTGGCATTTATTCTTTAGAAGATGAAAATTTTAAAAATAAAAAATAGGAGAATCACAATTCGCCACGTCAGCTCTGTCAATATTTGCCTGTTCAAGTAGCTCAATTCATTTCCTTTACCTTTCTCCTCACGCTCTTTTGCTCTTTTAAGTAAGTTTCACTCTCTATTTCCTTCCCTACCAAGTAAAATTCCATTTTCATTTTCATTTCCACCATTTTTATTTAATTGATTATCTCAGTTCAATTATTTTTGCTACTAAATGATATTCCATTTGGAATTGACAAATGAAGCTTAGCAAAAATTAGTTGTGAGGTACTAATTTTCCAATTTTGGAAAAGCATCATAGGAGTTCGTCAACATAGCCATACATTATTGGCTGAAACTTATAAGATCTGCATGAAATTGAGAATTTTTGCTTTGAAAATGGTGAAGAAAATGCTTTTTCTTTTCTTTTTCATCTCCATTTTTTTTACTTTAATTTTGTTGTAATTTTTTTGGTGTTTATATATTTATGATTGTTTTTTCATTTTGCCTTGGATCATTCATTGCTCCACCATGATTTTTTTTTTTTTGAGGCTGATAAGTGTGTTTTTACACACTTATTTAGCTCACAAACATGACTTAAATATAGACAAAATGGATGAATTGTGACTTAATCTCGTTAAATTCATGCAATGTAGGTGTTTCTATGAAAAAGATGGAATTAAGAAGAAAAGAGCCGAAAAAGGACCAAAACGGAACAAAGCGATAGTTCGGGGACCAAAGTTGCAAATATTGAAAAGTTGAGCTAAAGTGCAAAACTAGAATGAAAATATACCAAGTATGAGATTGAGGACGATACAAGACGATCGGAGGAAGAAAGAAGTAACATTGGACTGAATTGAAGAAAATTGAAAGATGAAGGACTAAATTGTAATTAATCAAAAGATGAGCCGAGCAAGTGATCAAGGAATTTATTGACCCAAATATCAATTAGGAGTCAATATTTGATAATGGAACAAAGGAAAGAAAGAAAAGAGATCAAGAAAAGAGAAAACGGAGTTCAGAGACCAAAATAGTAAGGTTGTAAAGTTACAACCTTGCGGCCGCATGTAACTATACCATGCGGCCGCACATGATCTAGCACGGATTTTATTGGGGCACATCAATTGAACCATGCGGTCACATGGGTTAACACCATGCGGCCGCATGGCTCAAAAGTTGGACGAAAATTCTGAACTTCCGTTTTTAATTGAAACTCCTTCGGGGCTCTGTGAAGACATGGTATAAAAGCTAAAATTCATCAGAAATAGGGCAGAACGTCCAGGGAGAAGAAAAATATAACTTTTGGAGGCAAGAAACACGAACTTGAAGCCGA